TGATGCCTGCCCCATGTCTATTGTAAAATATTAATAATGAGAGTTTATGCAGGTATAGGATTACAAAAAAAATTGAACGAGTTTCCATCAAACATATGATGAAATGGTTCAATTATGTATCATGTGAATCATAGATGATCATCCAGCAATCACTGTAAAAATATAGGCATCTGCTCTCAAATAAAATATGGCGACTTCTCGTATCGAATGGCAACATTTTGAGTTTGATTATGCACTCGGAACAGAGAGATGCGAATTTTTACCGTCTGTAGAGCATGTTATAGAGTGTGTATCACATGATACTCATATGGTAGCCAACGTGTATGTATATCGTCGGAATATCTCGGAATATATCTTTCCTCACTTCGTATTCATGGTGACAAGCACATTTCAATGCTTAGTCCCGAATGATTGCTCACATTCATTCTTGAGAGATTCGATGATAGGTTTGATTCACCTTATAAGGTGCAAGGCAAATTACGGCCAGCACTTAATGCTGTTAATGTTAGTGCCGTCGATGCTTGAAACAAAAAGGAAATTCCGAATCGAGTTAAATTTATACCTTTCAGATTAACGTTAACGAAATTTGGGATTGAAGGAACCTTGATTGAGTTTCAATTCTGTTCAATCTCTTTGATGCAATTAGTAGTCGATAATACGAGACTGACATGGAGATGGCAAATCTAATTATTGTGAATAATCAGTATTTTTAGGTTATCATTCAACGGATGGATGGATAATGATGGCTATTACTAAGAAACATGTGCAGTGATCATCTGAGTGAATGATTGCCATTATGAGCGAGCACCTATCATTCTATTACTACAACTATTCAGATACCAAACCAGATTGTATGCAAAGTGTGTTTCTTTTTTGAGACACTTGACTTTATATGCGACGACGTTTCCTTCGAATATTAACCTGAACGTTAGGACTCTCAATTTGAATGAAATGTTGTTTTTTCAGTATTTTCCATATAAGGTATACATTTTCAAATTCACCTTGTACTAATGGGACAAAACAGTTATGCTTCCTCTTCAATAACAACCGAGATATCTGGCAGTCTCAACGAAAATGAAAACCACTGTACATTGTTCAAATTTGTTGATACGAACTCGACAAAAATATGATCTAACTTTGCCGTTCGTGTTTTGGAATTCCACTTCTGATGTGAGAAAATAATATATCTTGAGAAACTCTAAGAAGATACCAATAAGTTGATAACAGATATATTGGTCTGTTGAAAACACTTTCAGGATACTCTTTCCCTAATATTGTCTTCATGTAGATTAAGTAGTTATTATCGCTTCTATGTAGATCTGGAAAAAATTGTTATTCTCAAACTTCAGTCACGCAATTTTCTCGAGAATGAAAATAATAAATGGCACCTCCAACCTGTTCGAACATGAAGTGGGAGTAAAAACGCTATAACAAAATCCTGAATGCCACAGCAGACATAAAAAAAATAAGAATAACTGCCCAGAGGTAGGCATGCAGAATTCACAATGCAATTCGGTTTCTAAGTATTATTGTCCATCGCATGTGGAATACCTGAATTTATGTTCGGTTCATAAATTGGTATAATAACCCCCCAATTGCGCATATGTTGGGTTGGGTACGGTCATTTTCCTTCGGAAATAAGGTTTTGTTGGGCCTGTTTGTCTGTCTGAGGAATTTGTCACGAAAGAGTGATGCTTTTTGGCACCCCAACGGTTTCATTCGCACGCTATATGTTACTATTTTGAGGGCTACGCTTTTCGTTTTCATCAATCACGTCAATATATGAACCAAACCCATATCAGGGTTACGTCCGAGGTTACGTCTACGTATATAAAATTAATTCCGTTTCTTGATGGAAACACAATATATCTGATAATGGAGTAGATTATACTTGATAGAAAATAATTTCATATAAGAAGATCAGTAAATGGTATGAGTACCTATAATTTGGTCTTGGTTTCAGGTTGTCAAGATGTTTTTTCACCTGATGAAATTTACAATTCATCAATATATTATGTCACTTAGAGATGCGTAGTCAATTCGACATTATAGAAGTTGAAATTGCATGGCAGTGCCTTTATGACCATAAAAATCGCTCTCAAATGGAAATAAATACTTTTTCCACCACTATAGAACTTACCATTATGTTTTTTTATGTTATGAAGACGTATAATGCTATGATTCTGTTTTATACGTAATGATATTTGAATGTAAAGCATTCACTACATTCAGATTTCAACTCAGTGTGACCGATGGATAGTGAAGAGAACAAATTTTCTTCGAATCCAGAACGTTCACAATTCAATAGCGAAAACGTGAGAATCCAATTTATATAAATAATAGGAGCTCACCTACCAGCAATTGTGCATGATGATATACATTTCAACAGCTTCAAATATGGTTGAAATGCAAATACTGTTCATTTCAAACGCTATTTAGCATACTTGCCATGTGTACACGCAATTCCAGGCCTAATTTCATGTAAATATATCGTGTTCGGCACTCTTCTTATTTTCTCTAATTGCATGTCGTTCCTGAAGATTTTCGTTGGAGGTGAATGGCAGCTTACGCACGTTTCCACATCTGAATAAAATCGCTATAAATTATAATTTTCGATTAAATCTTGACTCGACAGGTTACACGTCAGGAAAGTCTTAGGAACACCTCCCATTATTCATGTGACACAGCTCAGGGAATCAAGTTTTCCATTCAGAATTCAGCATGTTGTTCATTACTGTAAATAATGGAGTGTTTTCAGATATGTATTTTTGGTGTTGAGAAATTCACCAATTTGGTGCACATATCCATAATGCCTTTAGGTATAATTGCTGATGGATTGTCTGTGGCTCGGTCTGTGGTTCATTTTTCACTGAAATAAGCAACATGACATCTCGTCTCATGATTCCGTTAACACTGATTCCGTTGACGTTTTCAGAGACTTATGGCTATCGTTTCGTCTGATGAAATTTTTGAATCTGCAATATTGCGATTGTTAAAATGTGCGATGATGTGGTGTATTCACTAATATACATTCATCACATAATGGACATCAGATGACAAACTGCGTGACTCCACAACTGACCAATATTTTAATTACTGGTAGAATTCATGAATATATAATCTGATACGAGATCTGATATGATGAAGAACTTGAGTCTGTAGTACTATCACTATCTGAATGATGGTTCGAATGAACAATAAAAACCTTAAGACCGTAGTTGAACTTCAATCAGAAAAATTGTAGTAGAATAATATCATTTCTTTCAAAGAAAAACAGCAATACACTGGGTCGGTCCACCACAAAAATTATATTACATAGAATGTATTGTAACGAGTTTCGGCGCAAAGAGTCATCTCCAGATACATTAGTACACATTACCTATAATAAAATTGGATTTACAGATATCTTATATTCAGAGTACTCCTTGGTTGGAAATGAAATATGAATAAATGATATGTGTTGGTCAATCCCAGATCTTGCACAGTTCTAACCAATAGTTTTTCATAATCCCACTCGATCATAACTAAGATCAGGACTCACAATCGTATTTGACAAAGCAAATGTACGACGCACGAGTTAACAGACCGACTGGACCGACTAAATTCTAATAACTGTCACAAGGTGCCCGCGGAGTCTGCCAATTCGCCAGAAAAAAATAATTTGAATAAAATTAACTCGTCTGCGTAGATTACCATAAGTTTCGACATTATTGTCATCACAAGAAGACCAATGTAGTTATCTGATATCCTCCCAATGAAACAAAAGAAATTGAATAACAGTCATCAACTCAGATAAAACAAGAAAATTCAAAGAATGCTTCTTCCTCACTGTACACATTTTTGTAGGGATGGCAGAATCACTCAGGTTTCAATCATTCCAAATAGTCTAGCTACTCGATATTTATACATTTTTTCGTTCAATTCTGAAGATTCAATTTTCCGTTCATTGGAATCGCTTTGGAAAAATCCAATATTCTCGAACTATTTGTAATACTGTATTATATTGATGCGTTCAATGTATGTAGTTATTAAAACAAATCTGTGCCTAAATATTCCGTCTGAGAATCATATTTTGGGAAGTTTCACAAGAAATCACAAAATATTTTTTACTGTTGATGATGTTGCTTGATGCAAATTGACAGTAGTTGAATGATACTCATCTTTTGTGAAGCAATAAGCAATTAATTCCTAGAACAATTGTATCCGTGCAAATTGAAGGACAGAAGAACAAAAGAGTCAATTGTAAAAGTTTATGAACCCAATCATTCCACTAAAATACACCTAACCTCATTCGAAGAGTTTACTCGAACCTGTAAACTTGTGGATAATCTGATAATGAGCCATTGTATTCAATTTTCAGTTGGAATGTTCAAACATCGAAATGGAGAAGCATCCTGTCATTCGTCAGCAAAACCATGTTGCTATTAGATTCCGCTCCGTTCTCCTTTCCAATTCATATTCCACTTGACTGAGCAGTTTGAGTGATCTGTGAAGACAGCATATATAATGATCTGATACGCGATATTGTACTGAATACTCTCATTCTCAGACAGTCGAGACAATTCATTCCCATCTCCAAACAATCACTCAAATATTTCCAGTTTCAATATAAAATATCCGATCAAAACAAGAGTCAAGATTGTTGGCTGTTGTAGCGTAGCAGCAGTTAATTAATTCCTGCAGTTGGGACAGTTGGGAGAGTGGAGTGATATGTTGAGGGTCTCTAACTGTCACTCATCCCCAGCAAGGCTCTTATGCGAAAAGAGGATTATAATTTAGTGAATTCGGGCTTCTCTGGTATCCCATCCGAGGCAGACAAAGGGGTTCATCTTGTAGCTTGTGAACGTTTAAGAATAATTTGAATGACTGAGGGGTTTTTAATGACCCTTAACAATATGGCTCGCCGAACCGACACATTATGTTTATCATCACAGCTTGGCAATTTTTCTCTGCTTATTACCACCAACTATTCCATACAAGTGATCGATCACATAATGTTAATGATGCGACACCCACGTGAGTAATATGGTTTATTCACTTGGATATTATTTATCTCCCATTGAACAGAATAAAAGCAATGTGTCTAATACGTTGGAAGGGTCACCTCCGAGGTCACCTCTCATCAACGTTGTATATTGCGCATCTATATAACATGATCATAAGATCAACACATTATCATCATGGTGACATGGAAATCAATACCTACAGATGAGCCAACAGATATTGAAATCTTCGTATTTTCCGAGGTATTTTCTATAAAAATAGTATTGTGATCCGAAATTGGTAGGATTGAAGTAAAACACAACGTATTTTCATTCTTAACTATAATGATACTCATATGTAATACTAATCTACATCATATAATCAATACGAACACGATAATGTTGTTGTAAAAAGTTTGAGCATCTCCTGTCATTATTTGGAAATAGAAAGTTGAGGTCTTGGTTGATTTCATATTTCTTCAAGAATGTCAAGAAGTGCCGTATAGTGTACATAATAAATGTTTAACATTTCGGAAATATACCTACAAAAAATGAGAGGAGTGGGTTGTGTACTATGAGTCTGTGCTCAGACGGTATATATCATGATACTTATTTCAGAACGACTCAGAATCCTCCGTGTATTTGCCTATTTTATAGTATTATATTATGCTTATAATATATGTATACCTATAATCAGTGAGTGGTTAGTTACCATGGATCAAAACACAAAGACGTTTCCACAATTTTTAATTGTGAGCAAATCACTTGAACCAGATCAACGCACATGTTTCGAGCCTAAATAGGCTCATATTTAGCAAAAATTCTGCAACAATATATAAAGTTAAAAAGTATTCAATACTTAGAAGTGGGGTTACTTACATGGAAAGGAAATTGAAAAAATACTTATTTTACATGATTAACAATATGGTGAAAATATTTGAATTTTATTTTCTGCTTATACAAATTGGGGTTCAGGTGCCCCACAAGGCAGAAAAGCTGTGGACAAATTGTGGCGAAGACTTTGTGTTTTGAGCACTGATACATATGTACTGTCGTCTTCAGAGAACATATCGCACATGGACGGTATCAGATCTCTTATAATCACCGCTGCAATAAGGGCGATCATACCGTCCAAATGCGACATGTTCACTGGAGACGCGTGTACCTACATTATGGAAAATATACCGATTTCCTGAAGCGATTCCTCATTATGTATTCGGAGTAGTCCTGAATCAACACGGCAGCAAATTACTATCTCATTGCTTTCCTGAACATTTACACCATTGTCTGCATCTCGGCAATAATTCCACGATAAGTACTCCCTATATCTCAAACTTTGACTAGAGTTAACTAAGTAAACTATTCAAGCCAAACAACAACGGATGCTGCTCGGAGTTGCTTAATTCTACCAGATTCAGCTGAATTTAAACTATTTGTTTAACATGTGGTCTTTCGTCAGATGAAATTTCCCTAGAATTTATCTTGTACCGCCAGCTGTCAACGGAGAAGAGCAGAGACATGGCAGAGACGCTTTCATTCCAGATTGTGCGCATGCATTTCGAACAATGGATTCAATTTGAATTGAGAGTCAAGAAATTAATTTGGTTTCAATAAACACGGCCATTTGGAATGAACCTTTAATAATGAGCTAATGAACTATTTTTTTCTTTATTTTTCATTCTGAACATTCACCTTAATGCTTTTCATTTTATTATTTACTATTATTATTTGTGAATGATTTCAAGTAAAATCACAAATGAATTACATCCTCCCGAAATCTATGCATCGACTCGTATAAATGAATACTGTTACAAGTGATTCTTTCCTGAATGCCTATTGATTTCGATTTAGCCAGGCCAAGCTGGACACCTACAGACCGGTTAATACTTGTTTCAGTATTCGTTTATACTAGTCGATGCATAGTTTCTGACGTCGAGTCATAAAACTCATGTTTAGCAGTTGTGCATTGATCTACATTATAAAGATTCAAATCGTCCACTCTCTGAATTATATAATTTAGAGCATCTTCATTGCGCTGTCGTTGTTGTGGTGTCCATTCTTCTTCTTCAGGTTCATCTTGATCTGGATAACCAGGATCTATTGCTTCCCACCATCGTTTCTGACTCAACGCAGCTTTCATTCTTCTTGACATGGGTAGTAGTTGGTCCCCGCAAGGATTTCAACTTCTCGTAACTTCTCACCTCCGCTCGCCATGATGTTTCTCCTGTTTTCCAGGGATCAGGGCTCTACGTCGGTCGGTGATGTAATCTAATGTGATTCGGAATTTCTTCCCTCCTTATCTTCTTCGTCACTTCTTGCTTCAATTACTTCTTCGCAGGTTTAGAGTTCTGGGCACATAACCTGTTGTGAGCCTTCAATAATCCTCAAGTGATTTTATCTTCTATTTGAGGATTATTGAAGGCTCACAACATTCGGGAGGATGTAATTCAATGTTCAGCGAGGCATAAGCCAGGAAAGTAGTTGTTGTTCTTGCGAAATCTAACATTGTTGTTCATTTTATGAACATTATGTGGAAATGACTGAGCTTTTTGTATTTATTTCACTGATAACTATACTAACATCAAGACTTGGTGAGTGAGTGAAACACATAGTTGATCAATGTCGATAGTTATTTAACCAACTAGTGCATAAATCGCCTTATTAATATTATACGAGTTGGTTACAAACATTTTTCCTTCAACTTTTCTCCTGCAATGAAGAAAACTGTTCTCGAATTAATCATTCATCCGGAGCAATCGCCAAGTGAAAGTCGCAGACCCATTGTATGGTGTATGGTGGGTGTAAAAATATATTTTTGAGTGAAAATTTCAATACCAGAACAGGATCCTTTTGAAGAGAGCAGAGAAGAGGAGAACATTTGAATACCTCTTCAATAATACTATGAACGAGCATGTTTCTGATCAAGACAGGATTTCAAAATAAAATATCCGAGGTCATTCCTTATAGTATTTCATCATGAATCTTCTTCACAGATCAAATTTCCTATTGTTCTTGATACATGGAAATGGAGATTTAATATATGATATTCTCTAATACTTGAATCCTATATAATACGCCTGGATGAATAGTTTGTATATATAGTGAAGCCAAATGAACGCTATATATATCTGCGAAGGAAATAAAAAAAATTACTATGACTTCCGTGATAACAATTATATTAGAAATAATAAGTTTAACTCCTTAATATTGTTAGGCAAGATCCAATTATCAAGATGATAGAAAGTTGAGAAACTCAATATAGTATTGCAAATATTGAGGCTTCCTAATCCGCAGACGTGTGAAATATGTAGTAGATACATATCGGCCGTTAAGTGTTGTTACCTCATTCCTGCATGTCTATAGGTACAGTCTTCTTCAATGGATATGTCGCAATTTGACTGTATCAGAGCTTTCATTGAAGACATTATTAAGATCGCTATCGTCGTCCATGTGTACAGTACAAAGTCCTATTCTCTCTAGAAAGGCAGAAGTCAGTATGCCTGATACAACAATGTCTGGTACCCGAGCTGGTACCACCATTCCCACTAATACCAATATATCTATCTCGGTATTAAGATCAGCAATACTCTCGCATGAAAAAATCATGTCCGATCCATCGCAAAAGCTGCTCCACAATCACTCGGATTCTTATTTCGTGCGAAAATATGCTCTACTCAAGTTTTAGAATCCTGTTCTCATCTATGGGGTTCAGCACCCAAACATACGCTGATGCTCTTAGATTCCATCCAGAGAAGAACCATTCACCTGTTGGGTGATGCCACACTCACTAACTCTTCACACCATTGGAACATCGTAGAAAAGTCGGCGATTTTCCACTTTGCCATAGGTACTTCCACGGGAAATAATTCTCAGAAATTTTGTTCTAAAATTTGTTCTATCCGTCATTCGGTTGCCCCCTTACGAGCAACCCTCAAAAGTCTTCGAAAGTCATGTGCGAGCAAGGAATGACGGGGGCCTTACCTTTTAACGTGTGATCCCAAACACTTTCTTGGGCCATCAGAAAAATATCTGCAGTCGACGGGGATCGAACCCACGACCGGCAAGCGAATGCGAATTAGAATATAGACGCACTCTGTCCACACGGCTACCTGGTCAGAAATATCTGCTATAATTCCACGACTAGCAATACCAGTCAGACGAACTCGACAGGCCCAGTCAGCACTTCTCATCGTCGTTAACCTTGAAAAATGTTCGTCTAAAGAAGAAAATATTTGCCAATGGAAGTATTCCCAAGAACATAAAACCTCCAAAAAAAGGAACGCGTGATGTTCCACGAACATTATAGGAATTTCCTATCGGTGTGCTCCAAGAGATAAACAACATTTATATATATAGAATAGTTCAGGTGGAGTGAATGATCGTGATAATAGCTGGCAAAAATGATTTCAATAATGATAGTAATACTAACAATCACTAAAAATTAATCACAAGTCAATCAGAACTCACCCATTTTTCATCGCCTCGACACGTGTTTCGATAACTGCGTCAGCATCTTCAGAATGAAATTAAAACCAAGTTTTTACATCAGAGGGTACACCTCCCGAACTACAACCGACTCATCAATTCGCAATATCAGACCCACATAATCAGTGAAATTACTTTTTAATGACCTTTTCCCACATGTATGTGATCAATCTCACACTTAATCCACCGTTGGATGAACTTCTTTTCAGTCATTTCGTGGTAGATTAAAAAGTTCGATGCAGTAAAGGCAACCAGGTACGAGGTTGGCAGAATTCCGTATATGTCTATACTGCCGTTTTGAACAATTCTTTTTCTTCTACAGGCAGTGTGAAATAGCATTATCAGATTCTAACTACTCATCATTCCGGTTTCTATTAACTGTATATAACAAATAGTTTTGTCATGATTCAGTTTGTAACTAATTCAAAGGATAAAGTAGATGATAAACTGTTTTCCCACGATACACATTTGCCTGAGAAACTGTTTACGCTTTATATTGGTAGTTGAAAATTCATTAAATTACATTGATGATATAATGAGATGAGATAA